AGTTTTATTGTCTTCCTATTCTTCTACTTTTCCCAGTTTGCTCTCTCTCGTGTTCATCAGAAGAAAGAAACAAAGTCAATGTTTAATATTGTTACCTTCTTGTAATTTGGGGAAATAAAGTACATTTTGGTGGAAATGGTTACTTAGAATTCTTGCAGTCATTCTCCTAGTTTAGGCTGTTGACTTACGTCCTCACTCATCCCGTCTCTCCAGCTCGTGTGCGCTGCTCCTCATGGCTTTCCCAGCATGGAGTCCTGGGAGCAGCTGTGACACTTCATGGCTTCTCTCATTTACCACAATGGTCACACGAGCCAGGAGTTGTGGTCCTTTGGGGTCAATGGGGACACTGAGACTCAGGGAGTTGAGTGATCACAGTCACCCATTACTAAGTTCCAGGGACAGTGGGGATATGGCAGATTGAAGATTAAATCAGCCTGAGCCTCTGACCTCCACATTTTGGTGCTGGAGACAGGGTGGATCCAGGACTCGGTTCTGAACACCATCACCTTGTAACCTGCCTCTGTGTCCTGACCCACACTCAGGGATTACACCCCACATGGGGCCCACTCTCTGCTACTCAGAGTCTCTAGGAAAGTCCCTGACTTGCTCTCCAGACGAGGTCACCCAGCACTGGATGAGGTCAGCCTCTCTTCACCTGTCTCAGAGAGGACAAAGACTCCGGCATAGGAGCCAGTGGCATGGAAGTGACAAGTCTTAGATATCAGTCATGTACAGTGTGTGAAAGGGTCACATCTCAAGGGACAGCCAGGAGCCCAGGTGTACAGAGATCAGTATAGTCCCAGCATCACTCTGCTTTTTATTAGCCTGTTGCCTTTGTTGAAGCTCTCAGAAACTCCATGTCCCCAAATGTGAGGTGGAAAAAATACCGGGACCTACTTCTGAGCATGGTTGTAAAGGTGAACTGAGCAAGGACATGTACATCACTTAGTGCAGTGCTTGGTACATAGTGAGGGATCATCAATCACCACCATCCTCATCGTCATCATCACCATCATCATTGTTCTCTCATCACTACCATCATCATTTCCACCCTCATTCTCATCATCACCA